TCATAATTGACATTGCTGGACTAGTCTCGTCATCATTAGCAACAAAGATCCTGAGCTGCTATCCTGTATGGCGATTGATGCCCAGACTACAGATGCCAGACCCTGCCTAGCTTATATTATATTATCGAGAGGTGACTAAAACAGCTTTTCTCGAAGTACGAGCACGCAACATCCAACGTTGCGTGCTTCCAGTATCAGGTATGTCTCTCGCTATACTCACAACCTCGCTCCCCAACACACAGCTGTCACATGCACCCGAGACTGCCATGAGCCCCATTTTCTTTTCTTTACTCCCCCAAGTTTATGTGGTTATTATCGTAGAGAATAATAATAATAATAATAACAAATAATAATAATGGTGATAATAATAATAATAATAATAACAAATAACAATAATAACAATAATAGTACAATAATAATGGTAATAACAGTAACAATAATATTAATAATAATAATAATACTTATTAAAATATTGAATGTATACAAGCAATATTTCCGATCATGTTCAGACAGAATAAGGGCCCATCGTCCTCGGGGAATCAGTCGCCCATCTGCCCCGGCAGCGGTCCATGTGCCATCTCAGTAATCCTCTTTTTCTCTCTCCCTTACTCACTCTCACATACCTACACACCCACACACACATTCCATCGATAGGATGAGCATGAACGGAATGAATCTTCCACTGAAACGTGGAAATATACATTGCCACTTTTCGTTTTGCTTATTCTATCGATCCTAGTAGCGTGCGGCCAGCCCATGGGCTGGAGATTTATCTGTTTGGCGATCACTCAATCTCTCCCTCTCTCTCTCTCTTACACACATACACACACACACACACACACACACACACACAAAGTCCATCGATAGGATGAGCAAAAACGGAAGGAATCTTCCGCTGAAACGTGAAAATATACATTGCCACTTTTTGATTGCTCATTCTATCGATCCAAGCAGCGTGCGGCGAGGCGTGTGTTGGAGACTTAGCTCTCTCCCTCTCTCTCCTTCTATCCTTCTCTGATCTCCATCTCTCCTTCTCCATTGTCTATTTCTCTCTCCTTTTTTTTTCTTCTTCTCCTCCTCACACACACGCGTGCCCCCGTCGCCCATTGTATCTGTGCAGACGTGGATCGAGAGCCGACCTCTTGTACAAAGTATGAGACAGCGTAGCGGAAGACTTATATACCGATGATCCGGACAATCAATATCACAATGCAGCCTCGAACATACATCATCATCATCATCCCATAGTGCAAAGGGGTCTGGCGCCTTACACAGGAAGACTGCGCCAGCCCTGACCATACCAGACGAAGAAGAGGGAGGTTAGACGAAGAAGAGGGGAAGATGGGAATATCGACTGCATCAAGTCTTCGGCACATGCCCAAATAGTCCCTCGTCAAAATATTTGTATCCCAAGGTCGAGTCTAGATCTACTGTCGTCAAGTCTCAAGTCACAACTCTCTCTTTTCTCTATGCTGCTACCTAGAAGTCAGGTGGCGAGAGGGTGAGGAAGAAACGTGGACTTAGAAGAGGAAGAGGAAGAACTCTTTCTTTCACACACTCACACATACACACACACACACACACACATACACACACACACACACACTTCTTTACTACCGATGGCATGGAGGATCGGTTGCGAGGGAGAGACTTACCCCGTTCCTTTTTCTTGCTTCTCTCGTCTTCGTAGTTCGAGTAGTTGGCGTCGTAGTTTTCAATCTGCCAGTGTCGTTACCGCCTGTGGATGCACCGCATTCCCACAAGCTTCTGTCCTCGCGTTTGGCGGATAGCGGTTGCCTACGAGGTAAGTATTCTCCTTCCTCCCTCTCTCCTCCTTTCTTACTTCTTCTTCTCTCTACCTTTCCTCCTCTCTCGTCTTACCGCATGCTCCACCCTTACGTTTTTTTTCTTACTTGCATGCACACTCCTTTTCCCGCGCTTGCTTCCTCTCACATGCTATTCTTCCCCGTGCACTTTTAGCCGAGCCGAGCTATCTCTGCTTGCGATCACGCTTCACTCCCTTTTGTCTGCTCGGCGTCACATGTGCATGTTTGCCTGCTCCTTCCTTTCTCTTTTCTCCTTTCGTCTTCTCCTTCTTCTTCGCGCCTTCCTTTCTTCTACTTCTTCTCACTCCTTGCGCTACCTCGTTCGTTCGCGTACGCTATCCCTGTGCCTGTCCTCTGTTGCATGGGCTGCACCCTGCCGTCGCACGTTCTCCGCGGGAGGCCCAGAGCTGTGGCGACTTCGGTCTACCGCGACTCCAACTCCTTGCCAAATCTGCCCGGACTCTGAGGCGAGATCCACTAATAGTGAATCATTTGGATTAACAGCCTCGAAATCTAACTAACACAAACAAAAACGAAAAAAAAAAAAGAAAATCTAACTTCTATCCGCCCCGTTGCGCCAACTGTCGGGTACCTGTCACGGGGAGGATCCCAAATCATCTAACCCCAACCACTTCTAACGTCCAGGTCACGGGTTCGACCCCCGCCCATTTGAACACGGACGAAAAGAGAGCCCCTTGCAAAAAGAGCTAGCTCGGGGCCGGATGGATTCGACCCGCGAATCACTTGATTGTCGATCCGCACCGAAACCCATTGAGCTAGCTCCTACTTCGATTTGAATAGGTGCAACTTGGTTATTTGTAGAGTAGTGGAGCTTGGTCCGGCTACTGATCCGAGCCTATTTCTAGATCTGTGAGGCGTGCACCCGCCTGCCGGTCTGTGCGCCAGTCTGAGTGCTTGTTGGCTTGAAAGCGTGTGCGACCCGCGAGAGCACTTGGTCGGTCGGAAGCCCCGAAGGCTGGTACCTAGCTGTGGCCCCGACATTATAGGTCGAGGTGGGAAATATTCTAGTGGCGGTAGGCTGGTTCCTTGCTAGGGCCGCGACATTAGGGTCGCAACGGGGTAATCACCCAAGTGGCGGGTAGGCCGGTATCTAACTATGGCCGCGATATTTGAGAGTAGCGGCGGGGGAAAAGTTATAAGGCAGCGGAGTAAATCCGCACCCTTAGAACAGCGGGAAAAACACCAAAGTAGCCGGTAGGCAGGTACCACATCTAGTAAAGGTAGGCATGCCGCGTACTCGAGACCGACAAACTTAGCATTCTTAGAGGCCCGGTACCGGTAGGTAGGCGGCTCTAGGTCAAGTAGTCTCGGTCTAGACCCCGTGCGGACGATATCAGAACTTGCAACGGTGTCTCTCTCTGCAGAGGGACGAAGGCACCAGTCGCTAGGGTAGTCATGCGGTCGGGAAGTCACCTCCGCAGGGTGACTCCCTTTCTACCTACGGGAGGCTGACTCAGAGCCTCAACCTCGCTTAAGGTGCACTAGTAAGGACAAAGGTACCGCTTGAGCAAACACCAACAATCGGGGCACTACCTCAGCCCCGATGGTCATACACTAATAATTGCTCTGGTCGTACGACCAGGGCGCATATTAATTTATTCTGACCGATGTACTGACGATTAAGTCTCAGCGTACATCATAGATCTAGTCCTCATCACATCAATCCTATCGACCCCTCAACCTCTTCGGTCGAAGGGTATTACTGTGGATCTTAACCTTCACAGCGTGCGTCATAACAACGCGCGTGCATACTTAACGAAATTTTTTCACCGATTTTTCCCTGGCCTCAATGGCCGAGGAATTCGTTTCGAGTGTCACGCTCAAGCGTACACACTTTTATTGTAGACTGGCTTCATCATGGTAGCCGATGCCGTCACCGTGTCGAATGCAAAAGCATGGCCAAATACCCTTGTAAGGGTATTTGGTCCGACAGCGTAGACAAAAAGCGCCGCGCGGCTAGAAAATTCCTAATTACAAAATTCCTAAAGTCTTATCTAATGCGAAGAAGCAAAAAGCACAAATGCCAAGAAGTCCGAAATTACGAGGGCCATCGAGGCTCAACAAAATCCGAAAAAGATTTAAAAGAAAAATTCAACAAGAACGAAGCAAATTTCCGTGCGATGTCCGCGCTCAAAAGTTTGGAACCGAAACAAAAGAACCGAAGTCAACATTTATTAATCACGCGCGCGGTGGCGCGCCAGCCATTCGGTCAACCAATCAATCAACTGGTCGCCCTAGGACGCACCCAGCTCCTAACCCAGTAATTCGAAAAAAAACGACGAAAAAGACAAAAAAGCAAGGACACTGATGCAATTTCCCACCGATCCCGATCTCCCGTGATTGGCCCTACCTTCCCAACTTAGGACCCCTCGTTGCAACCACTCAAAAAGTCACGAGTTACAGAAAGTGGTTCGTCATATATGTGACGCCCAGGGGGTTCCAATATTAGCAAGTTCCTGCTTGCTTGTTGACACGTGTCGATTTCTCTAATGGACCGACACGCGGAGCATCTCTCTCTACGCCACTTACCGTTCAATTGAATGTGGACGTCGTCCATCGTGGCAACACTGCTCTTCTACTAATTCCTCAGGGTGGGCTTTTGACATTCCAAGGAGGGGGATTACGCGTGCCGCCGTTATAACACGTGTACACTAACCATGCATCAGCGCAAAAAGGAAGGTAGACCCTAGACGTTCCCGGGGAATGGCAGTCGAATCATCGAGGGTGGAGATGGCGGATGGTTCAGGGGGAGAGGGGGCATGAATTGATTGATGGCGGGAGATGCGAAATCAGGAAGGGTAGCGTAGTGGAAGGAGCGATGGATGTGGGGAAAGCGAGGGACCTCATGAAGATGGCAGAAAGCGGCGATGTAGTCGGGGTAAATGGTAGAAAGGGTCCATCGCAGGGCGGCGCGAAAATCTTCCTAGTTTTCGCAGGTGGGAATAGTCCCAGATATAATACAGTATTTTTCTACGTGGTTATATTCCCGCCACTCTGCGCTAAACAGGAGTATATGAAGGAGAAAGGAATCAACCACAGAGCGGGTGGTGGCATGCGGATAAACAGAGACTAGAAGGTAGGTAGCGTAGAGATGGTAGAAAAGGTGATGGGGGAAAGGGCACCAATCATCGGGGAACGGGGGTCTATCGGGAAGACGGGTAAGCATGAGGTAGTCACGGGGTCGGCGAGAGAACGACCGGGGACGAAGCCCGAACGCCGAGATCTTCATGTAGACAAATGGAGGATCAGGATGGGGAGCCGGAGGGAGTTGGCGATTCACTTCTTCTTCTTCTTCTCCGCGATCCCTTTGCTGAGGTTCCATCATCTTCTTCTTCTTGCGGTTCCGGATCACGCCACGGATCCCCGATCCATGAAACGTTTGCCGTGGGTTGCTTTCCCTCCGCAGTCTCCCGGCGCTTTCGTTTCCTCTGCTCTTCCTCCTCTTCGTTTTTTTCCTGCGACTGGCTCGATCCGCCGGCTATCCCCGTTTCTCTTTCCGGGACGTAGTCTTGATAGTCCCGTTCTCCACCCGATGGCTCCTCTTCTTCCTCCTCTTCCTCCGCTCCTCCTATCTCCTCGTCCTGCGCCGCGTTTCTCCTTGCGATCAGGTCCCAGAATGTGAGATCGGTGACATCGATCTCCAAGTAAAATGCCTGGGAGGGGTAGAGACAGTTGTCCTCGTCAATCTCCGTACACGTGGACCACACAAGGTGCGGCTCGAGCGCTCGAGACAGCACGTGGGTGCCAGGATGCTCGTCACTGCGTGACAAGATGTCCAGGGGCAGATCATCCACCAGCTGAGTCAGAAACACCAGCAACTCGTCCGTGATCAAGGTGAGATTGCCCTCCTCCACCTTCGCGAATACGATTCCCAGCAGATCGCCCTGCTCCGCCGTTCTCCAGGCTTGGATGATCAGAAGCTCCACGCTGTCCTCTGGGTGCTCTGGTCCTTCTCCGAACGGGGCCGCTTCTGACCAGCGGATCTCTATCTCCAATAGATAGAAGGCGAGTTCGATATAGTCCTCCCACCACGCATCCCACTTCTCCTCGCTCAGTAGCGGCGCACTGTTCTCCTTAACACGGTAGGAGAGAGTAGGAGCCCGCGCAGACTGCCAAAGGGTGGGGATGCTGGAGGGGAGGCCGAAATAGGAGACGCGACGATGACTCATTGGGGCGGTGTGAAGGGACGAAGCTCCAAAAACACGATCACTGGCGCGCTTCGAGACGAGCAGAGCTGGAGGTCCGTGCCATGCGCCGGCACGACGGTATGTCCTCGTCGAGCCAGAGGATCTGTCCACGCTGTCCGCACTTCCCTAGCCCAGGCGCGCAACGTCCGATAGATGTTAGAGTGAATCGCCAGCGGAATTGCTGTGATGTCTCCTGTGAAGACGACGACGACGGTGATATGGCTAATCCCGAGGGAGGATAGTCGTCGGAAGGCCGAGATCTCGGTCAGAACGCGCGTAGTTGCTTCTTCCGTAAATCGGAACTCTGTCGCCGAGTAGATCGCCGCCGTGCTGAAGAAAGCTGCGAACCGGAGGAGATCAGAGCAGAGATGGGGCCGCTGCACTTGCCGTATGACACTGATTCACCCCTGTGGAGTAAGAACCCGCACGTCGATCACTTGCTCCGTTGCAAAGCTCATGGCGATGGTGACGGGGTAATAGAGAAAGAACAGGGAGGAGACGGAGAGACAGGAGAGAGGTAGTCGTCGCCTTTTTCCGCAGTGGAGGAGGGATCGGATGAATGCGAAGATGGAGAAGGAGGAAGGGGACGAAGATAGGACACGTGGCAGATGATCGGGCGAGCCGATCGGCTGCCGGAGACCTCAGGCGCAAGTCGCACGGTGTTCACGCCGTTTGGTCTGAGTTTGATCACGCGAAATCGCCCGAAGAATCGGGGCGCTAGCTTACCCTGGCGAGCACATTTCCTCACCTGCACGGTGTCCCCTAATTTGTATTGGGGCAGCGGGCCTGCGTTCCCATTCCGGGCCTCGTAGCTTCGGACCTGTCGGCCTTGGGCCAACTCGATCGTTCTGTGCCGTTTTCGGGCTAGCCTGGGCAGGGACCGTTCCATTAGTTCCAAGTATCGTTTGGCCTTGTCCCGAGCCGTGGCCCAGGTGGGTCGTCGGTTCAGTGTAGATTCATCCGGGAGGCTTGGTATCGAAATGCAAGCGACGCTATTGGTCCTTAATTGGAAGGGGCTTAGCCCCGTCGATTCATGAGGTGTACCGCGATGGACCGCTACGACGTGGTCGACAATATCGGGCCAGGGCCTCGGATCCCTTGCCGTGATATTTCGTCGCAACGCTATCTTTATCACCCTGTTCGCGTTTTCTACCAGCCCATTGGACTGTGACATGTGGGGTGCAGTGTTCCGTATGGTGACGACATGTATGACCAGATTCCTTAGTACCTCTCCTCTAAATTCAGCCCCGTTATCGGTCATGATCTCTTCCGTATCCTGGTGCATCCCGAGAAAGCGGTTGACGTACCTCGCGATTTCGGCGGCTTGTCGCATGCGACAAGGATAGGCCTCAATCCATTTCGAAAAGTGGTCGACAAATACCAATAGGACTGAATACTCACAACTATTAGGACCAGGGGGCACCACTTTATCAGTAGTATCCATGCCGACTCTTTGAAATGGTCGTACAACTACCGTTGGCACTATCGATCTTGGCGGCCGAATCGGCGCCTTATCAGCGGAGCAGACTTAATAGTTGGCGACGATGTACTTCACATCGTCGCGGATATTGGACCAGTACCACTCATTTTTGTCGATAGCCGACTTCGTGATCCGTACGGCAAAATGAGCCGCAGTTTCTTCATGTGCCGTCTTAACCCAGTCATACCTCATGAACGGATGCGGTACAACCATCCAAATCCCACTGCCGTCTGTTTTTCGTTTTTCTAATCTGCCCTCTATCCATCTGTAATCCCGAGCCCTCTCGTTGGCCCTCCTCCGATCTTCCTTGGTGAAATCCTGGATGGGGTTACCTACTAAGGTGGCAATCAAGGCGATATCAGTCCATACTTCGGCCCTTCTAAACATCCGGGTCTTTTCCAATCCTTCTGACGTGGCATCCAAAAAGCGAGCTTCGGTCGGAATCTTGTCAGTCCGACACAAGGGGCACAACCACGGTTTACTATCGTTTTTGTATTGGATGCACGAGCCATGGGCTCGTGCGACACACTGTCGACAATCTATTCAGTCTGCACACCCTTCCCCGTTAGGACGCATGGAGACCGAGTACACTCAGGAGATGGCTTCACAAAAATAGCAAAATTTGTCAGGCAGGGAGAGGAGAGAAGAAGAGGAGAGGGGAGAAAGAGGGGTAGTGGGGTTACCACCATCACCCATTGTCGTCGTTCTGGTTCTTGCCACGTGGGAGAACTGCCACTTGTCCGTACTTAGGCTCGTTTTTCAAGTCCGGCTCCTTCCACGGTGTAATTTCCTCGCCCTTTGGTACTTTAGCAGGCCGATGCAGACGTGTCAGTCCGTCCGCGTTGCTGTGTCGCTCTGTCTTTCGATGAACGATATCGAAGTCGTATTCTTGTAGTCGCACCGCCCAACGACCAATCATGCCCGTGTAATTTGTGAGCTTTTTCAGCGCCAGCAGAGGTTCGTAATCTGTTACGAGGCGAAACTTTTGTCCGTAGAGATACGGATGGAAGTGTTGGATTCCCCAAACCACTGCATAGCATTCGCCTTGAGGTGCTGAGTCATTCCTCCGTTCGTCTAGTACCGTGCGAGACGCGTACTCGATGACGTGTTCACGACCATCGTTCCCCTTCTGCCGTAGAATAGCGGAGATAGTTTCCGGTTGTCAGTCCGTGATGAGAATGAACGGCTTCGAGGGGTCCGGGCGAATCAAAATAGGGGCCGTTGCCAGAGCATCCTTGAGGGTCGCGAAAGCCTGTTGGCACTCCGCATCCCAACTGAGAGGTTGGTCCTTCCGTAGAAGGTTCGTTAGTGGTCGTGCAATCGCAGCGAAACCCTTGATGAAGCGACGATAGTACGATGCCAACCCTAAGAAGACTCGAACCTGCGTCAGCGACGTGGGAACTGGGGCTTATCTTATCACCGCAACCTTTTTTGAGTCCGGCCGCAGTCCTCCACGTGTCACGACGTAGCCCAAGAACGAAATTTTCGAGAGGACAAACTCGCTCTTCTCGAGCGCGACCTTGAACCCGGCGTCTCTCAGGGCTCCCAATGTCCACTCGATGTGTTGTGCGTGCCCATGATAAGTCTGCAAGTAGACAAGGATATTGTCCATGTACACGATCACGCAGAAGTTGATCATCCCCTGTGTTAACCGCGCCTTGTTGACGAAGTTCTGGAATGTCATATTCATCGCTCGCTGAAACGTGGCAGGCGCGTTGCAAATCCCCATCGGACACCGAACCCACTGCCACGTGCCCTCAAATAGTACAAAGGCCGTCTTGGGCCGATCTTCCTCCTTCACCAGAATGTGATGGAAGCCATACCGAATATCAAACTTGTTGAAATAATTAGCGCAACCAATCGCATCCAACATATCATCAATTCGGGGGAGGGGATACACATCTTTAATCGTGATTTCATTCAACTTGCGATAATCGATGCATATGTGAATTGATCCGTTTTTCTTTGGCACTAGCACTATGGGAAATGACCATGGTCCAGTGGCTGGCTCAATCCACCCGCTAGCTTTGAATTCTCTAATTCGTTCGAGAGCCGTTTTGCGTTCTATCAAGGAGTATCGGTACGGCTTGCAATGGATCGGGGAGTGATTCCCCGTCTGTATTTCGTGTTGAATAACTAACGACAGGCCAATGTCAGTATCCGTAACGCTAACCGCTCCCCGATATTCCGTCAAAATGTCCACAATTAATCGATGAATTTCATCGGGTACGTACTGTGGCACGTGTAACTCAAAAAGTTGGTCCCCGATCCGTACATCTATTTGTTTGGTGCGTGCAGGTTTCACCACATCGGGTGGGGGTGCAGAAATGAAGGAGTGATCCGATCGCCAGGAGAACACCGTGGCCATTATCTGGGCGTCTTCTTCCCGAATGGCCACGTGTCCTTCTGGGGTGATTCCGTCACAAACATCCTGCCATGGTACGGTTCTAGTCGGGATTTTTACTCCAAGTTCGTCCGAGTCAGCTTCGAGTCGCCCAGGGGGTTCCAAAGAACTTGCTTCTGCCCCCAAGCGCAACAGTCGCACTTCTTTCGCAGGTGTCAAGAGGGACCTTGGTAGATCCGTAATGTCGCAGTAATGCTTTTTGTCGCTGTATCTGGCGAGAAGCGGGGTGATCCCTTCGTACAGGGTTTGAGGGGGTTCCAGAGAATCGACCATCCTCGAAATCTGCACGAGGGGTTCACCCAAGATCATCACCTTGGTCCTTTGAATGTTCCGACTGGTCAGATGCATCGTTCTTGCTATCGTTCTAGGTGGCTGGTAGTAAACACGCTGTCGTGCTAGCTTCGAGATTTCTGGATCGTCCTCATCACTGCTGTCCGCATCATTCGTTGATGACTCCCCGTCTGCGGATTCACCCCAGGAGATCATACGGAGAGTCCCGACCATCATCGACGAAACTCGTGGGACCACGTTGATGGTGGTACGAAGGGTTAGTCTCATAGGCACAGCATAGGGCTTTCCTCCCATATTTCGGAGGACGATCGACCTTCGCTCGAAATCCAAGTTCGCCCGTAATGTTACAAGAGCGGGAAGTCCAAAAAGAATGTCGTAGGTATTTACATCTAGCACGACGACATCTCCCAGTGTGTGCACCTTCCCTAATCGGAAAGCGACGTTGGTCATCCTTCCCACTGTTTTAATCTTTTCTTCGTTGGCCGAAACGGGCTGATCTTTCTCGGAAAGCATGATCAGATCGTTTTTCCTACGTGCCCTCTCAACCACTCTCAGTGCAATAGCCAAAACCACAGCTCCCGAATCGATAATTGCATTGTACGGAATTCCCCAAATTTCGATGTCGCATTCCGCGGATTTCCACGTGATGGGTTTAATCCGTAGGAAATGATAATCTTTCTGTAATAGTCCTATCCGTATTGGATCTGACGTGCTAGTCGCGTTTTCGTCTGGCGTGGGACTTTTGGC